GTCTAGTTGGGAGCCAAAACAGAGATCAACAACCATAAAACATTATAAAGCTGTTTGACTTCCTGAAGAACATTGCACTGATAGATAACTAGACGTCTCCCATAAAAAACAATATCAAATACCAGGCACCACCTGTTACTTCAGCGAGGGCTGAGCAAAAGCAAAGCTGGGAGGAATTTGGGGGAAGCGGAGGGAGAGCCGTCCCCGCGCGGGCACCGGCTGGCACGGGAACCCCGGGAGCTGCCGGGCAGGGAGCTGCGGCCGCCTGCAAAACCTGCCTGGTCTTAAGGGGCTCCAGGCCCCTGATAACCCTTTATCTGGACCGTGGCTTAGTGTTTGGGCTGGAATTGTTAAATACTGCTTATTTTGAGAAGCTCTTTGTGTGGAGAAACTGCCCTAGCTGAGCTTGGCTCAGCTGAGATGTTCCCATTGCTCCAGGCGGATATTTGGGTCGACAGGTCTGGAAGGTCCAAAGACCTGGCCCGTGTAAGGGGCTGCAGGGCGGGATGCTGACTATGTCCGAGGGGCTTTGGGTGACTTTCAGGTGAAGCCTGGCCCTTGTCCTGCTTTGAATGAAAAATGTGAAGTCCTATGAACGGGTCCAGCTTTAATGAAAAATTGTTAGGATATGTGTTCTTTTTGTGTGCAGCTACATAAACCAATTAGCAGTTTTCTAACTTGTTCTAAAGATCTGTAAATTTTCTGTACTTAGATACTGAGTCATGCTAAGCTTCTTCCACATCATTCCCTCTCATGTTAGCACTGCCATCATTCTCGATTTCAGGCACTACAAATCCAGATGGGATTTGTTGAACCATTGGTCTCAAGTCTATTTTAGAGGGTCTAGGGTTGTTTTTAAGCATTATAAAGCACAGAACCATTCTTTCCATTGGAGCCAAAGGAGCAGGTGGACTGAATCCAACTCTAAAGGGACCCGGCTAGGTCGGGAGCCTGGAATCATGCCCAGGTGCCGCGTTGTTTCCCACCGGGCTCCTTGGCTGCTCCGCGTGTCCTGCAGCGATGGCTCCGTAAAAACCGTCACGGCCTCGCGTGGCCTCGGCGCCCTGGGCTGCCTGGCGCTCCGCGTGCCACCCTGCTCCCAGCTGTTGTCTTCAATTGGGTGACTTAAGGGCTTTCTTAACAGTTATTGTTATCAGGCGTAAAGTAATTAAAGATAATTCAAGTTTCCTAGTTTTTTTCTGGTTTTTCTTTTTTATTGGCATTCCAGCTGGTATAATTTCTAAAATGATATTAATATTTAAAATGTGTCCAGAGAGGGGTGGATATCTATGTGTGATCTGTTTAACATGTAGGTTAAAAGGCACTTCTTACAATTTTCTTTAATCTTCTGTTAACTAGGGTTATCTACACTAAAACCTGTATTATCCGTAACTGCATTATTCAGAACATGTGTCCATCACTTCAAAGTGCCCAGCTGTAAATTGGGATGATAAATGTCTTTTTGATGAAACCTTAAATCAAAGAGAAATCCTTTAACTTGTGGCCAGAGTAGTAAATGGGAATAATCTAAGTCTAAAAAATCCTCAATATTAGAGAATATAAATCCTAAGGCATTTTGAGGAAGGCAGTAAAARTAAACTTTAGGCTCAGAAATAACTCAGATTTCTCATATAGCCTGTTAGAAGTTCTTATTCTTAGAAGTCCTAAGATTTTTTTTATAGTGCATAGCTTTTTTGGKTTTTTTTCCAAGTCTGGGAGTTATTAAATCTTACTGTATTATTTGTGGTTTCATTTGTTGCCTCTAATTTGTCCATTTGTGCGTTCTACGAAGCTGAGATTCTCAGGTACATGTTTCTCTGGGCCATTACATTTCACATTAAGTTGCCGGTCACTGCAGCTGTGCTCGCTAAGTCAAAATACTGCAGAGAAATAACAGCGTATTACAAGAATATATTTTGAAGGGACAGCTGCAAGTAAAGACTTGATGTCAGTGGGGTTGTGCTTTGTCATGTAGTGTGACACAAATGCAATGGAATTACTTGTTTTGTAAAGTAAATGGCTGAAGTACATTTGTAGCACAGTGTTTATATCCTCAAACATCAGTGAAACGAAATGCAGATGCCTTAGGCTTGTCAAAGGCCATCAACCATCTTAGGTTAGTTTGGGGGGAATAAAAAGGAAACCTGTCAAAGTGAATGCAAGCAGACTGTCCAACTCTTACGTCACTTGGGGAATGAGTTTGAGCCCTAATGCTCCGTAGTGGTGGTTGAGTGAAGCTCTTGATCACGCAGCTGCCTCGCACGGGGGGTGCCCTTGCCTGCCTTTGCATGGCTGTGCAGCAGATGCATCCCAGCCTTGCTCAAAAACGCTGTAAAAACGGACAAAATTCTCAAGTTTCCCAAGGTTTAGGGAGAAAGGAGGAGTTGGCTTCATCGGTTGAAGTGTTTGTGGCCRGTGGTGTTTGGTGAGGGGCTGCTCCCCGGGTGCTTCGTCGCCGCTCCTGCTCCTCGTGGTCTTGGGCAGTTCTTTGAATTCACCCGTTTCTAGAGTCCTCCTGAACCTYAGAGACGTGCAGGGGGGCGTTATGTCTGCTGAAAATAAAGCTTTTCACCTCTGCTTGTGTTAAAATGAGGCTGCTGGTCCATTTGGAACAAAAGTAAAAGCTCCTGTATGGGCGCTGAAGAGGGGCACTGCGTATCCCAGGCCTGCATTCCTGCCCTGCTGCCAGGGCCCAGTTTCCAGGGATCTGCGTTAGCTTGGGAATGTGTGCAATGCTTATACTCCCTGGGCGTAGATGCTTGTTTTTCTTTATAAAGGGAGTTGAACCAGTTACTACAAATTATGCTCTCACAGATCAACCCACAGATATCTTGGCTTTAAAATAAAACAAAGCGGTGCTCGTGTCTTCTCGAGGGGTCGCTGGCAGTATCTGCACCCCGTTTTTTGGTTGTAATAAGGTGAGGAATTGTGTCCTTGACCAGGTACAGCAGTGACACCAAGGTGTCTCCTGTGGAGCAAGAAATGCAGCAGTGTCGCCCTGCATCGTGTCCGCTGAGCGAGCGAGCGGGGCAGTAACGGGGCCGGAGTCCTCCCAGCTCTGCCCGGCGCCTCGGAGCAGCCTTCCCCTCTTGGAAGCCCTTGGAAGCCGCCTGCAGTTTGGGAGAGCACCAGGCTGTTCAAACACAGCAGCGTTTCACAGACCCGCCGCGTTCTCCTCAGACGGAGGCAAACATTAGCCAGCCACTTGAATTTGCTCTCTGTGCTCGGTGAGAAGYCGTCAATGGGCTCGGCTCGCGGGGGCCCGGCCGGGGGATGCTGAGAAAAAATGCGAGGAATTGGGACGCTGGAGAAAATATTCCTGTTTAGCGGCAAATCCTCCTGTTCTGACTAGTTACCTCACCGCAAGTACCGTCCCACAGCATCTGCATGGAATAAATAGCCAAGTTTGCCTTGGGATTCGGAAGGTGCGTGGTTAGTGGCGTGGGGAGGGGGTGCTTGGCATGGGGTGGGGTGGTCTCCCCTCTGCTGCCCCAAATTAGCGCGTGGGCAATTGGGAGGCTGAGCCCTGGGCCGGGGGGCTGCCTGGAAACCTGCCCGCTCATCTGCCCCCCTCGGGATGGTGCCGGGGGGGCTGCCTGGAAACCTGCCCGCTCATCTGCCCCCCTCGGGATGGTGCCGGGGGGGCTGCCTGGAAAGCTGCCCGCTCATCTGCCCCCCTCGGGATGGTGCCGGGGGGGCTGCCACTCGTCCCCCCCCCTTGGGATGTTGTGTCTTTCTCGGCCAGCGCCGCAACGGAGCCTCACAAGTCAGCCTTGGAATGCGCTTAATTGGAGGCAGTGCTGGGAAGGTAACTGGAGTTAGCCAGAGCAGCGGTAATTAACTGGTTTTCTCCTCTTCTTTGTTTAAGCGAGCGTTGAGTTACTCTTCTAAATAGTGTCTAATTAGTGTTCCTCCTTCCTCTTCTTTCCCTCCTCCCTACAACCTGTGGAACAAATTCCTACCCGAGATAAGTGTGCCGATTCACTTTTCATGCTCTGTATCAAAATTACGTTATCAAGATAATCTCTAACTTATTTTCAAATCTTATTAAAGCACGATTATAGTTAACCTCGGGAAATTAGCTGTTGCGGGTACCTCCGACCAGTTTTGGTTAGGAGCCAAACRCTGCAGTCACCTTTCCAGTATAAATAGATTTAATTCATTTACAATTTGTTTGAAAAATACAAGATATGAGAAGAAAACCTTTAATACCCTTTATTTATTTAAACCAGCTCTTACAGCACAGTGCATTTCTTAATTGCCTCTGGGATAGCTGAGCTTCTCAGTCAGCAATAACTGAGTCCTAGGAGCCCTTCATGCTAGTTTGGGGAAAACATCCTGGTTGCACTATATATTTTTGGTGTTTCTCACGGTTCATTTTGAACTGCTGTTACAGACTTAGTCCATGGTCTAGAAATCTCAACAGATAGCTGCTGTTTTGACTTTTTAAATAAGGCCCTTGAAAAGAAGGTATTAAAATTACTAACAAGGCTGATTTTCAGTAGAAGTGGGGGGATAGGAAAGGAAGTTACTGYAAGTGCCATGTTGGTGAGTATTAAACGTGCTCAGCTGTGCAGTCCTGTCTCTGGCTTTTGGAGCACGGTGGCAAAATGCAGTGCAAGGTTTGGGATGTTTTGCAATTTATACCAAAATCTGTTTTCATAAAGAGTGGCTTTCTTAGCCTTTGTGTCGTGCAAAATGAGCTTGTTCCCTTCTATCTCAAACATTACATTTTGGCTCTGGCTCAGAGACTGTTGAATGTCAGTCCGTTTGACTTGCGTTTTGGTTTAATCTCCCAGCATTTCTGTATCTTAGCTTTAACTTTGTCGGACAAATACAAGTTTTTCAAAACGTTCCCAGTGCAACGTGCAGCTCCTTTCCATTTTCCCACATTGCAATCGGTAAGAACTGGAGAAGAGATGCACCGAGTTTAACCTCAATTTACTCTGTGTATTTGGAAGGCGTTGCRCGGCTGCTGACTGAGCTCTGTTCTCCCGCAGGAGCGCCGCGCGGCCCGGGATCGTGGCCATGAGCAGCGCCAGCGAGCCCGTGCTCCTGAGCAACGGCAGCGTCCTGGCGAGCGCCGCGGCCGCCGACGGCGACGGGGCTCTGCAGCAGCTCCCCTCCAAGGAAGCACCGCGAGCCAAGGCCGCTCCCAACGGCTGCCTCCAGCTCAATGGTACGATCAAACCGTCCTTCCTGCCTCTGGTCAACCAAAGAGCGCAGCAGATGTTGTCGCAGTGCTGCCACCCTTGCCCGTACCATCACCCTTTGAGCAGCCATAACAGCAAGCACGAATGTCACCCCGTGGTTGGCAGCTCCGCGCCRTCCCCTGTGACTTCGTGCTGCATGCAGCCGCACACTGAGTATTCAGCGTCTATTTGCCAAAAACACGCAGCCATCTATCAGCCCGCGTGCTGTCTGCAGCCCTCGCCGTCCTTCTGCCTTCACCACCAATGGCCTGACCATTTTCAGCATCAGCCTGTGCAGCAACATATAGCCAGGATAAGGTAAGCAGCTGGAACTATTGTTGCTTTTCAATACATGTAGCTCTTTCTGAGAGTACTTCATTTCATTCTGCTGTGCAAGCAGAAGATCAGGAAGGAAGGTAACCCAAACTTCTTCACCAGTGCTTTTCTGTATTTTCTTATGCCTTACCAGTTTAACTTGGGCAAACCTATATGAATACTTCAATTGTATTTATTCAATTTAATTTATTCAATTGTATTTATTCAATTGAAATTATTCATTTCATTCTTACTTGGTTTCTTCTAAACAATAAATTCTAAGTCAGGAAACTAGTTTTGCTGCTCTACATGAGCATTTCTGGAACAGTTCTTTCTGCACAAGAAAGTCTGTTTTTTCTTTCTTCTTGGGAATTGTTTTAAAGCCATTAACACCTGTACAAGATGCGGTGTCTGCCTATGTTACACGAGAGAGCAAAATGCAGAGGTAACTAGCACTGAAAAAGCTAGTATACCTGCATAGTCTAACTGAAGTTAGCATTGTTTCCTTGAAAAGACGTGCTTTTGAAAACTCTATTCTTAAATGTACTGGTTGTTTTTCTTTGTCAAATCAGCTGTTGCAGTGAGTTGACCTCTTGCATCTTCTGTGTATGTATCTGACGAACTTCAGAGTTTTGCTAGGGTTGAGAGATTTGGGATTGTTAGAGGTTTTAATCCTTTCCCTCCTCCACTAACRTAAAAACTTCCCTCTTTCTATCTATTAGCTTTGGAGATTCAAGACAGTAGTCCCAGCTGCAAGGGAGCAGCAGTTGCAAGGATGGTTGAGTGCAACCTGCTGCTATGGGCAGGTTCGCTCTCAGCCTAGGAGTCAGTTTCTAAAAATCTTAATTCCCCAATGCAAGGCTCTTCTGAGMTATTTTGTTTTTTCTTTTTGTTGTAATTGGGCCAAATTGGCTTTTTTTTTCCTAGGTTAATAGAAGCTGCCCTTCTCCCTACTGCTCAACATCTGCATCCCTGCTTTAGAGCTCGGAACTGCAAATATTTCTCAGCCAGTTGTATGCATTTTGTCTCAATGACAAGTCTGTCATCTGAGAGGATGTCTCTTCTGAGAATATGAGTCTGGGACAAATATTCAATGTGGAAAATGTCAAAATGAATACATTTTCTTTCCCTAAAGGTGAAAGCAGCTAAAAATAAGTTTAATAATATAAAGTCCAAGTCAACTTGTCTCTGCCAGTTGTTCCTCTTACAAGTGGAAGGAAGCCTAATTGTTGGAACTACTTACAGTCAGACATGATTTTTCTATCCCATTCTTGATTAAATTTTAAGGAAAGATGAAAACATTTGTATGATTCTGTATGCAAAGATATGTGAGAGGTTGAGCATTTATAGCAAAAAAGTCATACCTTTCACACTGTCAAAGTGAGTTCACTAAATCCTATATTTTCCTGCCTGCACAGCAGGGCTGTTTTAGCTTTGACTGTCTTCCCTACTTCCRTAAGTATAGGAATCCATAATGTGGATCCACATTATGGATTCCTATACTTATTCTGGAAAAAGGAGCCCTGAAACGTTCTTCTCAAATACGATGAAATAATGTTTTCCRTAGTACTTCACAAATAGCAGAATTTTGTGTTTCAGCTGCTGTGACTAGGATCTGAAGCCAAGATGCGTTTCTTCACCTTGTACTTCCTCGCCAATGACGTACATTTGTGAGGATCTGTTTAATAAACGATGATAAATGGTTATCTTGCTGTTAGTAGGCAAAGTAAGGACAGAATCTGACCTTTAAAGCATTGCTAGACATTAACTATGTGCACTACTGTGTTTTAAATATCCCTATAAATGCTTACTGCTTCTTTCCTACACTTCTTCCTACCTAGGGCAACTGGAAGAGATACTTGCAATGTACCTCATAGGTCAGCAAACCAGTTAGTCTGTCTTCTGAAAACCATCCAGCCTCAGGTTGCTTCCAACTGTGTTGTTAGCTCTAAATATGAGGTAAATGGGACGCGGGTCCCTTGCTGTGCTGGGGGAGCTGGGTTCCCGTACGACTTCTGGCTATTTTGACTGGCAGTGGCTGTGCTGATAAGAAATGTGCACATCTGTCTCTTCCAACTGTGTTATGGACATGGAGCCAGAGGTTGTTGGGTTTTTTTGCTCCTGAATGCTCCACAGAGTTTATCTAGCTATTACAGCTCCCGTTGCGTTGTGGATCCCGTTTATCATAATGCAAAGCTGCTTTTAATAAAGGCATSTTGGTAGAGGCTGAACAGGGGGAGAAGGAGGATGCAAACCTGCAAATGAACATCCTCAGAAAGAAGGGGTCTTGCTACSTGGTTGTAACTTCACAGTGCCGAAGAGAAGAGGTGACAAAGCTGCTTGTTCTTCCCTGACATGGTCAAGTAACTTTCTCTTCACAGCTCTGTCTACGTGACAGTCACGCATGGWCTCTGTTCCACACTCAAATGCTAATATATTTTGAGCCTAAAGTCTGCACAACAGCTTCTTTCCCAGATACTTTTCTTACAAGGCTGCCTTGGAAGTCGTCCAGTTTTATAATATGTGCATGTTTTAACAGGGCTATTTAAAATGYACGCCCTCATATGATACGGTAATTAAATTCAGTGTATAGTCAAAATAGCTGTCAGTTTGGTTCTTCGTATTTAAAAATATGCATTTTAATATTGTTATAATTTTAAGTCTGAAGGGGAAAAAGATGTTACTAGATAGAGGAGGCGAAAGCTTTTGCAAAATGTATCACTGCTGCTTGCAGCTCTGGGCAGGTAACCAATTGTTTCAGCACGACAGGTTTTGTCAGGTTTTTAAGCCCAAGGCTTAACATTTGTTAGTGACCTAACATAAAAAGAATGTAGGCCTGGTGTACTGTGGATTGCAGGGGATAAAGAAGGCAGACTAAAATAATGCCACACTTGTCCTAGCCYCTGAAAGCTGCCTGGATCTGGGATTTTGTAGTGTGCAGAACATTGAAGTTTTAACTAAATTGTGAAYTGAATTATCTGGGAATGTCCTCTGTGCACCATAACCTGAATGTCTGGGCATTGGTTGGCGTGGAATAAAACATTCTTAATATTTATGGATGTAGAACATGATCATATCCAATGAGTCTTTCTACTGTAGAAGAAGGTAAAATAGTTCAACTGTTCATCCTAATCGTTCTGACAGATTTTGTTTTCAGAAAACCGTTTTTCTGAGATTGGAAGATCTTCTCTCTGGTACTTGAGCTTGATACTTGAGATTRGAAGAGGTCAGACGTATTGTCTCATCTTGTGCCGTATATTTCAGATATAATTCATTCAAATACGTTATTCCCCTTTTGTAGTGCTCCCAGACTATGTTCCTACTGGAACGCAGTTGTCCGGGAACTCGGTTTGCTTTCTGCAAACAGTTTCTAAACTTCCCTCTCGTGCTGCATGGGGCAACGAGTCCTTTTCAGGCTCTTCTGGAAGATTTTGCACCCTCACTTCGAGAGGCTCGTGGTTATGTAACACTTCTTCTCTGAAGCCAGTTGTGTGTCTCAAACCCTTGGAAGGTGGGTAGTTACTGCTGCTCCTAGATGGAAGCACTGTCCCCTTCTGTGATCATCAATAGCATTGCCCAAGGAGAAGGTAGAGGTGAGGAAGAGGAACCAAGTAAAGCTGTTGATTTCTTGTTATCCAGGTGTGGAAGAAGCCTGAGGATGCACCCCTGAGAGCTGGAGGCAGGGAGCTAGGAGGCGCTAAGGGCAGGAGGAAAACATGCAGCCCAGCAGCACGTTTAATGGGATGAAAAGGGGATAAAATAATAAATGATTGCATATCCTAGCAGAAATAAACGCTTCAGTAAAGCAGTATAAAACCAGCAAGCTCTTAATTCAAATTGTTGCTTGTGTTTTCCAGAAATCTAATATTTATATGTCATTTGTGTAATTCGGTAAGCCGTAATAGCTTTGTGGGCAGCGTGTGTGTGCACACCTCTGTGTACAGCTCTTGCCTGCAGTGCCAAAGCACYAGAGTCTCTCTGACTTGTATGTGAACTTACTTGAAAAGCTGTAGTTGAAAACTGCCTGTGTCGTTGCTGACCTTGACACCAGCTCTTTTGGAGTCTCTCGTGTAGTACAACTGTGAGCACTTAAGGCCATGGACTTGCAGACAAAAGAGAGCGAACAGAAGGGCACGGAGCTGCAGGAGAAGTGCTGGAATTGCTGATAAGGAAACTACTCCACATTGCCCACGAGCAGAGTATTTGCAGTTCTGCAAGACCGAGCCCATAAATTCATGCGAGTGTTCCTCGCTCAGGGTGAACCTGCTCTGTATCACCCACCGTTGTTTACATCTCAAGACGGTATTGTTAAGATTTTTGACTAAAGCAGATAGGTAGAGACGATCTCTCTGTAAAGCATCTGAATTCTCTCTGGTAAATAGATGGGCTTTTTACAAGTTGTTGGATTTCTGTAGTAAAAGACACGTGATCTCTCCGTGATCGTGCGGTCGTATCAAGCTGGGACATAAAAAGGAAAATCAGCTTAAACTGCACATAATCATTAGTTTGACTAAAATATGCAGGTCCTTCCCCATCCTCTGCCCTGGGGGTTTTAAACTTTTAGCTTCCAAAGCCTTTCTCAGCAGTCTCAGCGAGCTTCCTTTAAGGGAAGTGGAGTTTGCCCCCTCATTCCCAGCCTTCAGGAGCTGGGACGTGATGAGCACCCAAGATCCCGTGCCGTGAGAAAGGGGGCCCCATCCCAATGGAGTGCCAGCCRCAGCGGATGTCTGGATTGCTGGATCCAGATAGATCTCATTTGCTAGACAGCTTGATCTTTTAAGCAGGGCAAAACCAAAATACTTCAGAGTCAGGAAACTGTTAAAACATTAATATCTTCCAACCTGCTGGACATCTTCTGCTCAGCCAGATTTAAGTGTTTTTTTTTTTTTAAACTGTTTTGGCGCTGCAGATTTATGTCACTGTCCTGGGATTGGGGGTTCTGCTGTATGTCATGTGCTCTGTGCCACACACTGGTTAAACAGTATTGCAGATACACCTCAGGA